GTTTATTTAACATTAGCTCCTGCTTCTCTCCTATGATCCATGACTAGCTTTTAAGAAGTGTCGACAAGCCCTGGGACAAACCATGTTACATCTTCAATGAGAAGCTGCCCTGCTTAAATATGAAATCTCTGTGTGTGGAGGAAGAGCAAGGAAAGAACGAGCAGCGCTTGAGGGGCTTTTCTCCAGCTTAAACAGAGCCATCACATGCACTACAGCCTTCCCTAGCTATTCATTTTGAAACAAAACAGGCTTTAAACATTTATTTTCAGCGAAGCCTTCCAGGAGGTCTGAATACTTCTGTGGATCCTTTTTGCAGCATCATTCCAACTCGTTCAGCTTTGTATTTAGAGCAAATTGGATATCAAAAGTTATTCCTGATTATGCTGTGCATACCTGTAAGTTGCAGCATAGGTCTAATCTTACTGTGTGTGCTTGCAAATCAGTGCACTGCAGTACAGTGCAGCACTCTGTGCGGGTTTGGTACCAGTTTATCCTGCAGTGCTTTGCACATCAGAGCATAAGCATGTTAAAGTACACAACAATTTAGATGTGCTACGTCAGACTGACCTGGTGTGCGAGCCACTCACTGGCAATGCCTTCGGATGTAGGGCAAAATTCTCTTCTCAGGTTCCCAGAGTACCTCGTGACTCAGTCTCCCCAGTCTCCTGCACTGACATGTGCAGGCATTTTGTGGCGTGAAAGAAAGTGAGTGCCCTGAAAGGGGTAATCTGTCACTGACTGAGGAATGGACAATAATGGCAAAGCCCAAGAAGAGCACGAGACCCTTTCTTGAACCAGTTGCTCTGCATCTGAGAGAAACTCAAAGGGTTTGTGTCACTTGGGCAGCATGCTTATAGCCTCTTCCTCCTAATTATCACTGAGCTGATGACCTAAGACTGCTTTGTGGATATGAGGACAGAATTTTGCCTGCAGGATGCACGATTACCAACTGTGCCTTCTATATAAATCAGTCGTAAGTGTATTTGGAATAGCTGCTAGGCCGGCTTCTGAGCTTACCAGAGGACAGAGCTCCAGCTCCACATGGCACAGAGCTGTTGCAGTTTTAAAATCAGTCTGATTTTTTTCTTTAACAGGGGAGCCCAGTGTAACTCCGTCAAGACTGGAGTGACACTCTGAATCTGCATCTGCCTCATGTGAGTTAAAATCCTGGCAGCAGCATTTTGCATAAGCTGGAGCCTCTGTAGAGATTTTTTTTTTCCTTTTTTTTTCCTTTTTTTTTTTTTTTTCCTTTTCAGGAAGGCTATAAAATTGTTACTGTGTCTTGGCAGCAAAGGTAAAAACAGCCACACAAATGCATGAGAATTGCATACCTTACTGCACAACCCCTGCTCATTCCAGATCAGCTTCCCTCCTAGAATGTGTAAGGGATGCCTGCACTCATCACAGACCTGAAGGCTTGCAACGTTCACTCCTGGGGTACTGCTTTTTACCTTTCAATAGTATAATGTTAAGCCAAGTGATGGTATTAAGGGGAGGCTGAAATACTGTCAACTGGCTTCTCTGTTTTTTTAAGCCTTTGGTTGTTTTCTTTCCACCCCGGTTGCATAATCCATGAGCGCTGGGTGCCGTTTGCCCCATGCCACTGAAGCATTTGCCTGTGTTGAGACACAAACTATTAAAACAAGGTGGTCCTCTGGAGCTGGGAACTTGGCGTGGTGGCAGAGACATGGCATCAAATAGTACAAAAGGGAAAAGAAATCAGAGTAAGTTGTAGCATGTGCTTTGGTTTTACTGTCTTTGGGTAAGGATGCTTTGAAAATGGGTTTGTAGCACTGCCTCTTCACCTGTCACAGAGCTGGGGATGCTTGAAGACTGGGTCTTTCTCAGCTGTGTGAAAGAGCTGAGCATGGGAGACACTGAATGGCAAATACCTGAATTCATGGCATTGCCATGGCACACATATTGCCTCCAGTTGTGGTCTCAGCAGCCAGCTCTGATGGAGGGAGCTGTTCCAGGAGAGCTTAAAACTATTTTTCATCATGCAGCTGCAGAAAAAAATACCAATCTGTCTTCTCTACTCTCTTTCCTCATGGATGCCTGAAGTAAACAAGATATGAGAGAGAGCAACCAGCTCTGAGTACAATATTGAAATACATTTTTTCATCTAGTAATACATATAACTGGGACATTTTCCCTGAATGTGCTGCTGTAGTTGCAGCGGTGTTAGCCTGTTCATACCTGATCTGAAGGAGGTAGATTGTTTGTTTGCCCAGAAGCTCATGTTACTGAAACAGGCATTTGCACATCTCATGAGAAATGTCAGTGAGTTGTGGCTCATAGCGACAGATGCAGCATGTGCTGTGGTGTAGAGTGCTGTCAAGGTGGGCTCGGTGAGCTCTCAGTCTGTTCCCAGCTGTGTGTCTAAAGGAAAAGTTTATCTTGAACAGTAAGTATGATGGTAACTGGAGAACAGTTATTGTCCCTTTCCAGTTTCCAGGAGGCCAGTTTCCTGTGTCGCTGTTTAGTTTGTGATTTTCCAGATACTGTGGAGTGGTAGAAAAGTAGGGAAGGGACCTGAGGCATGAGTGAGATAGAGGTTTAATTTAATTGAAAGAGACATGAAGGAAGCAAAATCTAGGGCTTGAGAAGTAAGAGGAATAGCTGTCCAGCCCTCACCCCCAAAACATTCAGATTAATCCTGTTGCAGTACTGCCTTAACAGAAACTTGGGATGATGAAGACTGAGGTTGATACATTCTTCACCCTTTCCTGCTGGTGCTTCAGCTTGTTTCCTGAAACTCAGAGAGTTAAAAGGTCTGTAGTGATGAATCTAAGGCAGAGAGGGAAATAAAGAAAGGAAGGAATTGAGTGAGGGCATTTTGTGAGCAGCTGGCTTCATGTCCCTCCAGAGCCATTCTCTGCTGGAGTGTTAACAAGTTACATAGGTTGTCTAACAGAGAGCCCTACTGTTTCCCTGGAGAGGTTCTGCTGGAGCTGTTGATGAACCACTTCTGCTTGTCCAAAGGAAAGGCCAGTGTGCTCCTTGAGATTCCTTGTGTCTGGGCAGCATCATTATGGTTGTTGAGTTCAGAAAGAGCAGGATTTCCTTGGGCAAATGATTTGTTTGGGAGTGATGTTTTATGGATGAGTTGGTAACATGGTCAAATTCTCAGGAAGCTAACAAGGAGAGTGCAGTAACTTCATGGACAGAGAGGGGGACTGGAGGCATAGCGGGGAGCTTTACAGCACTTTCACCTTCCAAGTATATGCAGGTGTATTTATTACTGTTTTCCTTGGGAAGTGCCTTTACTATCCTGCATCAGAGGAATTCCTTTTTCCAGATGATGCTCTGCTGTCTCTCTCACAGTGTTTTTCATTGCCTAACTGCCTTTTGCTCCCTCCAACTCTAGCTCACTGCCTAGAATTGCCTTGTCAGTCACCGCTTTCTTCATTAGCTGTAGTTTCTGATTGCTTATTCCTGTCTATAGCTCAATCAACCCTTCCTTTCATAAAGGATGGAAAAGACTATGTGCATTGAATATTATATCATGTTTTTGATGTTTACCATTGGTATAATAATGCTTGAATTGAAATTGGTAACTTTTATTGATTTCAGTTACCTGTTTAAGAACACTGCAGTTTTGTTTATTACGTTTTTAATGGGGAAAATTAACTCTTAGTGTTTTGGTGCTTTTTAGATTGAGATACATGAGGCCCCTGTCACAGTTCCTGTCAACTGAGTCTTGACAGTCTCTTTCTTCTGTAGTCCTTTTCTTTTTAGTATTCTTATAGTATTTTATATATTTGATTTCTCCTCTCAAATTGAGTATTAAAGAGTATAAATATTGTGGTGATTACCTGGGCAGTACAGACAGTGTGTGTTAATATATATTGTGAGGTCCAGCGGTGTGCTATATCTGTATCAGGAAAAGCAGTCTGCCTTCTAACTAGCTTGGCTGTGTAACTTGCATATTTTTGGTTTTCACTTAGCTAAATATGAAGTATTCAAGTGTCTGAGACAGTTGGGCCATTGAACCCATGGTAACCCTTATGGCAGTCAAGGGTTGTATTTGACATTGTTACATCTTAAGATCAATGTAAGACAGAGACATGCAGCAAATGTAAAGATGCCATCAGAGAAACACAGTGATTTCTGTTTGTTATAGAAACGCAGTCATTTCCTTTCAGATGTTAATTTAATGATCTGATTAAGCAGTAACGTTTCCAGTACATGGGAATGTCATTTGAGAAGAAGACAGGCCTGATGGTAGTAATGACTTAGTTGAACAAGTCAATTTCTTTTGCATTGAGCTAAGGTGTGTGTCACTGATGAGCAGCTTCTCTGAAATGTAAGAATAGTAAGCTTGCTTAGAAGAGTAGCATTTTGATGCATAACAGTAACAGCAAACAGATTTTCACAGTACCATATGGTATTATTAACAAACAAATCGTAAGTTAACTTGACAGCTCTACCTTCAAGCTAATTTAGTCTGCAGCAAACATAAATTCCTCTGAGATGAAATCTGAAGACAATACTAAGCTCTGGGATTGTAGCCAGAGCAGTAACAGTATCACAGCAGTGATGAATTTCAGGCTTTCTAGCTATGAATACATGTTTTCCCCAGATTTATTGGTTTCTTCATCAGCTTTGCAAAAACACATCAAACCGAAACCAAGCAGGTGGAACAGGGAGCCTTCATGCATCTGCCTAACAGGACTGCAGGGAGAGGAGCTGCAGTTTGAAATACATTCTTCCTGATGCAGAGCTGTGATCGACTGATGGATATTTCATCTGGTGCACTCTGCTGCTGAAACCCGAACTGTGGCTCTGCTCGGCTGCAGTCCTGGAGCTTGAGCTAATTTCATTGTGGCTCCAGGCTGGGGGACCCAAAGCAGCAAGGGCAGGAGCGAAGAAGGGAACAGGGAACGTGTGATGTGGAGGAGGGAGGAGGGGAAACGGGTACATTACTTTTAATTGCCTTCTTGTTTAACCCCCTAGCTGTTTTCAAATTTTCTAACTGAAATCTCATCTTGGTACAGTGTATAAATCCCCTGAATACGAATCTCTTGGATTTGACCTGACCGTAGAAAGATTAGTTTCCATTGGATACCCTCATGAGCTGCTCAATTTTGTGTATGATCCTGCATTCCCTACCAGGTAAATGACTAACAGATACTGACCCAGCCTGCTCAAGGCCTGAATATTTGTTCTGTAAAGTTCATAGGCAACACGTGAGGCCAGGTTTTCAGAGTTGTGCCTGTGAAGCCTGTGGTTGACCACAGATCATGGGGAAGGGAGCAAATTGCTCTGGTTTGTGGAAGGCTTTTGAACACATGAATCCATGCCAGCAAAGGAGTGTGCAAGAAAAGAGGCCTGCTGAAAACATGGTCCAGAAATAACTTTTTAAAGGAAAGACAGCAGAGACACAATTGGACTGGAAGTTAGATCAAAATCAAGGGGTGAAGGAACCGTTACTGTCCATCATGAGGCTTATAGAATGCCTCAGAACATTTTTCTTTAATGAATTTAATTAATAGTGTCCTGGTGCATGAGACATCCTGAAAACTAAGCTAACAGTAAACAATAATAAAAGTGTAATCAATCCAGTTCACTGTCTACATCAATCAAACACCTAAAGCAAAGTGAATGGTGCCAAGTTACTAAATTCTTATATTTTGTCTTTTGGGAGCAGAGGTAAAAAGGACATTGCTTGTTTTAAGCAAGCCTTTTGATCTTACTCTGTGCCTTTAACTTGTTTCCACTTGTGCCTTTGCTGGATTTTTCTATTTTGGACTCCTTTGGATGTTCTTTAGAAGAGATGGACCATAGGGTCTGTTGGCTTGCTATTCCAGTTTTCAGCCTAGCAGCCTCCTTCCTTCCATCCTCTTGGCACGTTTTTTCACCAGGACTGTTGCTGGGTGCACCCATGCCCATGACAAGACAGTAGCCCTTCACAAACCTGTGATGAAGACACCATTAAATCCACTGCCTTCATCCCAGGGTGGGAATAGAAGAGATATCTCTGTGGGAAGACTTCATTCTCCAGATGCAAACTACTAGATAAGTGAGACAGTGTTTTGCTGGAGTTGGAACCAGGAATGTCCAAAGCATTTTGTGCAATAGTTACATGTCCATGTCTGAAAAAGAGGAGAGAAATTCCTTTATCACACCTTGCTCTCCCTTGCAGCCCAGCAGGACTGTCAGGGAACCACAAACACAGGTGTCAGATTCGTGACCCTGTGGAAGAGGCCGGTGTCCTCTCTGGTATGTGCATAGCTAAGCCTCTGCCGGGTTAAATGGTTCTGTTTTCAAGTCTGTGGAGAGCAGATCAGCTGCACCTTTCGCCTGACAGCACAGGGCTCTTGTTGCTCACCTGCAGCCAGGTAAAAGGCACAGTAGAGACCACATCTGCATAGTAACAATAACTCTGTTTTATTCAGAGTGCCATTGAAATGGTCAATGCTTAATATGTTCGCTTCTTCATACCTTAAATCACTTTCTTAACAGAGGCCTGGTGTTCGATACTCACTACGGAAACCTGTTGAAAGTTGATGCCTATGGGAACCTCCTAGTGTGTGCACATGGCTTTAATTTCCTCAGAGGGTGAGTGCTGATTCTTGGCTGTTCTTTTGACTTAATATATGCCCTTTTTTGTCACTGATCCTCAGGGTGCCCATTGTAGAAGGAGTCACGGGGACTCTGCTAAAAGCAGATGCTGTGTTGGTGTTCCTACAGCTCCAGGATTGACTGGGGATGCAGTGAGGCTCCCAGACACAGCAACAGCCCAAGGTGTTTGTAGAGGAGATGTCTGTACCAGCACAGGCACATCTCTGGTGTGCTGGGACTAGAAGGAAGTGTGCTGTGGGGAGGGGTTGATGGGATAATCCAGGACTGTTCACCTGTCATCAGCTGGTCAGTTAAGACAGAGCCATTGTATGCGGGCTGCTGGGAGCAGAAGTGACCTGTGCCCCATGAGACTGTCATCTCCACAGCCATTGCTGAGAAAGTTCAAGGGCCTGAGCTTGCTTGGGGAAGGAACAAGGTTATTCTACCCCTTTGTGTTTCTGACCTTTGAGGGTGTCAGAAGTGAGGCATTTTCTGCCATTTCCTGCAGCCTTCCCTGGCTGCTTGTGTTTCTCCTGCCCTAGAAAAGGTGCTTTAGGGAGCAGGGGGGACCTCAGTGCTACATGCCTGATGGGTCCCACCAAATCCTTTCGTATCGCTGTTGTGAGAGTGGATGGATGGAAGGCAAGCACAGGCCAGCCCCAAGGCGACAAACCTTGTCATTGAAGGCCCGTAAGTCACTGTGTCACAAAGCTAAACTTTAGGAAAAGTTTTTGTCTTTGCACTCGGGTTTCTGTTTGAGTCACAGTGATCTTCAGAAGCTCCAGAAATGAAGGAAACTAGAATAATTAAATGACTTTAGTCATTGCCACCCTGCTGATTAATTGCAGAGGGCCCCAGGCAAGCCTCCTGCAGCACAGCCCTGCACTCCCCTGCTGAAAGCTGCTCCAGGGAGTGTAAAGCAATACATGGAAAGTGGGGGAAAGTTTAAGATAAGCAAACAATGAAAGTGCAGATGATTGAAGGCATCCTCATAGCCAGCAGCATGGGGCTTAAGGTGGAGTTGTGGACTCTCGACCACTCAGTTTCCCTGTGTGGGCTCTGCTTAGTTTGCTGACTCAGCAACGAGGGCTTTGTGCCTTGCTCTGCCTGAGCCAGCACAGTGGGTGCAGTTTTGCTCTTGCACTGCTAATGCATGTGGGAAAGTTGGGTGTCAATTAAAGCACAACAGCCTCTAGTTAAGGGACCCTGCTATTTTGCAGGTCAGCACATTTTATCCTCATTATTTCTTGTGGTTTCATTCTTCTCCACCTTATCTATTCTCAGGCCTGAGACACGGGATCAATATCCAAATAAATTTATCCAGAGGGATGACACAGATAGGTTTTACATTCTGAATACGTTATTCAACCTACCAGGTGAGTCTGATGCGAGCCAATGCAGGTCTGTTTCTGTGCTTTTGAAACCAAAAAAGCTTTGCTAATGACATGCTCTACATATCTGTTTATTTCTTTTACATGAACTTTCTTTTTTTGGGCACAGGGCCTAAAGTTAGCTGACTGTATGATGTTATCCTTGTCTTAAAATTGTGCTTTGTTTCTTTGCAGAGACCTACCTATTGGCTTGCCTAGTGGATTTCTTTACTAACTGTGACCGGTACACTAGGTATGTATTCCCTCTGGTTTGAGGTGCTGATGGTATTGTTATTATAAAGAGCAATTCAGTACAGATGGAGCTGTTCTTAATTTCAGTGGAGGCCCCTCAAGTGGTTTTGGTGGGTAAAAGTTCAGTCCTCTTATTCTTTTGACATGAAGAGAATTCAGTGGTGACAAGATGATCTGTGTGTACAGCAGACTGGTTATGAGGGTTTCTTTCACAGCATATATCAATATCACCATGCTGACTAACACTGGTGTTTGGGCCAGCTTATTAAGACCACACACGTATTACAGGGTGATTACAGGCACCAGACAGCTCATTTTGAACCTGTGACCACTGGAGCCATGTTTGAACTGGTAACTGAAAGGCTAGATTTCCTTAGTCTGTTACCACAAGTCCCTCATGTCATAACTGAGGACTTTAAGGTGAAATGCTCAGGCACATTGTGCTGTAAAAGGCTGTTTGTGCAACATGAGTGTTTACCTTGTTTTCAAATAGGTGTAAGCATAAAAACAAGCTGTGGTTTGAACTGGCAAACGTGAATGTTGGTGTGCTTCTGACTCATGTGATGGGTCATCTTTGCATATTATGTGAGTGGAAGGCAAAGGGATTTTAATGGGATTTTACCTGGGAGCAGAGGAACTGCTTATGCCCACAATCCATCAGGTGAAGTATCCTTCTTCATCACAGACATGATGAGTGCTGTCATAATACATACAGCTCTGTTTAATCCTTGATTTCTTCTGATGCAGACTCTCATGGATGTCTCAAAGATACGTCCACAGTATCTTGTAGAGAAAGTTTCTTATGTTAACTCTATCCAACACAGAAGTAGTTCCTTCCTCTCAGCAGTGATTATTAAATTTGGTTGATTTTCCTGGTACCTCCTTATTTAATGTTGGAAAGAAGGACTGCTTACTTTCTCAGTACCATTTATCTTTTGTAAAATGCTGCAAACTGTACAGCCCCAGTCTTTCCTTCTTGTAATGCTGTGGTGGAGAAAGAAGAGTTGCAGGTCACGGAAAAGCTGTAGTACTGCTATGGAGGCACAGGCCCCTAGTTAGAAACTTACGTACTCTCCATTTCAAGCAAATGTTCTTGTGTAACATGCAGATCCTGTTAAACTCTTCTAGCCTCTTTTCAAGACTGAGCTGCAGTAAATTAATAAACAAGAATCCATTATGGTAAGATGAAAACACAGGCTCCAAACAACATTTGGACTGTCTCTCTCCTTGACGTCTTTCTTACCTGCTGTGATTGACCACTAAAATCTGTTTTCTCCTCACAGCTGTGAAACAGGGTTTAAAGATGGAGACCTCTTCATGTCCTTCAGGAGTATGTTCCAGGATGTCAGAGATGCTGTTGACTGGGTTCATTACAAGGTGATTGTGAGAACTCATTGAGATGTCTGTAGTTGTAACTGAGTTAGAGGGACTGGTTTATAGATCATGAGTTAAGTTATTCCACTTTTGGGCAAGAGCCCTGCTTTGCCGCCTAGTGAGCAAATAATAAATTGCAGTTCTATATAAGTCAAGATCTTGACTGCCCTCCTTGTACTGGAACATTTCTGTTTTGGCTTCCTATTCCTTTTTATTCTGTCCAGGTTCCATTTCTGCACTGTAATTAATGGGGTTTAGAACTAAAAGTCCACAACTTGTACTTTGTCTTAATGATTAAAATGGCATTTTACTGTAAGTGGTTTACATTGGTACTATCTTATATTATCTGAAAAGTACCTGCATTAAACAGAAATACATCAACTCTTCTCTATTTAGAAAGGAGGGGCAGTTCATCTTTTCACACTTTGTGCAAATTCAGAATCTAATTATGTGAGTATTAACATCTGGTTGAAGACCTGATTTTCATGTTCTTCCTCATTCAAGAGGTCTATTGGGGTGGGATGGAGAACCATCACAGGAGAACTCTGCTCACAGTTGTACTTGTGGTGGTCCTTTTATCCATGCAGAAGTCAGGAATCTATTTTTCTTTCCTTATGCAGTGTTATGCATGTTGGAGTTGGCCTTTCAGTAAAGCATTATGGTCAGTGTTGGAGACAGGTCGTTGACTGTCTTGTTTGGTATGGCAAATCTATTTTTTGTTTGTTTCTATTGTATTCCCTTCTGAAAGGGTTAAAATGCTGTTGAAGTGGATTATTTACCATGGTGAGGGAATCGAAGGATCACAGAGTTTGTGATGGTCCCTGCTACTCAAAGCCTCTCATCTCTAGAGTCACTGGTTCAGATTCGCCCTGGTTTGTACTTTCACAGCATTTTAAAGTGTGAAAGTTGGCATTACTTTGATGTCTCTTACGTCATAAGTTTCCGTTACCTCACTGGGTTCTGTTGTTTCTATTTCAGGGATCACTTAAGGAAAAGACCCTTGAGAATCTGGAAAAGTATGTGGTGAAAGATGTAAGTGTGAAGTTACTTTATGTGTGCTATATGACGTTCTGTAGTGAGTAAGCCGGCAAGATATAAACATGCTGATTTGCTTTACTGCATCACAAAACAGATAACACTGTGATTTCTATTGTAATAACCAAAGACAAAGTGGAAAGTTCGGACGCAGCCTTTATTCTGAGCCAGTGATCCGCATGATTTCGTATTCACGTGCATGTTCTTTACATAAAATATAAAAACCAGAGGAAATGTTTACATGGGACACAGGTGAATACACTGGTAGGGCTCATGTTGGTTCTTTTGATGGTGTGCTCCCGGCCCATGTTTTCTCTGCCCAAGCAGACCTCTTTTTTAAAAAGGAATGATAAGCATCTTTTTAGACAGAGGTATTCCTTAGCCATCCAAATAAATGATACATGTCTTTAACCATAAGAGACTGAGGAAGAGCTCCTGAAAGAGTCACCAATATCCAGTCTCTTGATAGCCCCAAAAATGTGTGTACAGCACATCAAATTGAGCAAGCTCCAGTGGTTCCCTTACTTTTGCCCTCTCAAGGCCCCTCTGGACCACTTAGAGTGTAATTATTCTCTTGTTTAGATGAGCTACAGGGTGGAGTATCACTTTAAAGCAGTTCAGCTTGTTTCTAGTTACGTGCCTGCAGAATTCTTAGGAAAGCGTTCTGTGAGGTAATCAGCTACTCTGGCAATGAACTGAGATTTATGATTCAATAAAAATAGCCCCAGGAATAAATTCTCCCTAATTTGAGGCTGGAATTATAATGCACTCCAACTTGTGGCTCGTGTGCGCTCAGATTTCACCTGCCTCTGGGCCCATTTCGGGAACAGACTTGGAGCTGGAGGAGCTGCTCCAGCATGCCTGGCATGAAGCAGATCGATGGGAGCAGCACAGGGTGCCTGGCACTGTGGTTGGCAAAGGCACCACAACCCTGCTGAGCCTTTTTGTCTTGCCTTTCTCCCCTGGGCTATGCTCTGGAGGGGTGTTATCTGGATGGACCAGCAGCTTTCTTGGCTCTGGCCAGTACAAAACATGTGAGTTTGCTTGATTGTTTGTTTGATTAGCTTTGTTTTGTCTGGTGGGATCATAGTTCAGAGTGTTTTCCCGTGATGAATCTCTGTAACTTTTGTATGTGATTTGTATGTCTCTTGGCTTTCAGGGGAAGCTGCCACTGCTGCTCAGCCGCATGAATGAAGTTGGGAAGGTGTTTCTTGTCACAAACAGTGACTATAAATACACAGATGTAAGTGCTGCTTGAATTGTTGTGTTGGTATATAATGCGAAAGTCAGCCAGTCACTTGTATGGATTTTGGTAGGACATCTTCTGGTGGAGAAACAGTGTTTTCTAAACTAGGTGCAAAATGTTTTAGTGGTGAATGCATATTAGGTCTTGAGTCATCTTTCTGTAGTCCTGGTTCTGCTACTGACCTAGTATGGGCCTGGCTTAAGTCCCTCTGTGCCTCACTCAGTTCCTCAGCAATGAAAAGGCTGAAAGTGATGCTAATTTTAGATTTCAGAATCCTTTCTGAACTATTTCCTTTTCAAGTGAGATAGTGTGAGGTCACTGGATGAGGTGACCTCAGGTCACCAAAGCCATGGGCCTAGAATCATAGAATCAACTAGGTTGGAAAAGACCTTTAAGGTTACACCAAGTCCAACCTTTACCCCAGCACTGCCAAGTCCACCACTAAACCATGTCACTGAGGGCCTTATCTACACAGTTTGTGAACACTTCCAGGGATGGTGATCCCACCACTGCCCTGGGCAGCCTGTGCCAGTGCCTGACCACCCTTTTGGTGAAGAAACTTCCCTAAACTCCTATCTAAACCTCCCCTGGTGCAGCTTGAGGCCTGGAGAGGTCTAAGAGCCAGAGAGGGCTGTCTGCTGTGCTGTAGCAATAAGTGTTTACTCCAACTCCAGGTACATATCAGGATGTTGCAACATTGCTAATGCAAAGATTTGTATGATGTTCTAAAGTATGACAAAAATACCTGAAGCAGTGTGCAGATTTCTGAGGCAAATGTGTTCTTTGATTGTAAAAATTACTGGGTTAATTCCTGTCTCTTGAAAGTCCATCCATTCATTTTTGCTTTTATAAACTAGATAAATGTAAGTTTAAAAACACATCTTTGAATACTTTCTTTCTGTCTTTCAGAAAATTATGACTTACTTGTTTGACTTTCCACATGGACCAAAGGTATGTGATTTCTGGACTGCAGTTCCAATAGAAGCTGATGTGCCTAATTATCTGTGTAGCTGGAAAGCATTTTAATCCTGCTTCATCAACCGTGTGGGATTAGTTGCTTTAATCTGGTTAAAATACACTAGCTGGTTTGTGTCCTATTTGAATGGGATCAAAGCAAATACAATATAACAAAGAGAAAAGAGGCATTATCTGGTCTCAAACGATAATCTGTGTTAATGATAACATTATTTTAGTGATAACACAGTTTAACTGTGGCATTTTGCAGCCAGGTTTCTCAGAAATCTTGCACAATGCAGCAGAAACATTGAAGTGCCTTGACTATGGTAACTACAGAAATTCTAGTCATGCCTTTTCTAGTTTTCTGAGTTTACAGCTCAGCCCTGCAACTTTTGGAGAGCAGTTTATGAGCTGAGTTTATACTGCTGCTTCAGTCTGTCAGTGTGAGGCTCTCTCACATGCAAAAGATGTGTTTTCACGCTGTGCTTTAAAGGTAGAAGGTGGCCAAAGGAGAAATGCTCAGAACATGAGAAACCACCACAACTGATAGATCAAAAAACCCCTTGCTGCAGTCTTGATCTCCAAAAGACTGGAAACGTGGAGCAGAAAGGGCTTATGAATGCAGTGTCCTTTGGGGAGGGCTGTGATTCAAAGCCATGCCCTGTAAAATAAGAGTCCAGGCATTTTCCCACCCTTTGGCAAATGTACCAGCATGGCCTTGTAAGGCTGAAGCGTGAAGCTGCATGTGCTTAGATCTACGCAGGATTTCACCTTGAGAAACAGGGGCAGCAGTGTCATTTACAGCATCTCTTTACACAACAGCTGTGCTGGAACATGGCTGTTCAGTGCAGTTCTCCAGCCTCACATCATGTCCTCAGTCCTCACTGCTAGGCTCGGTTGAGATGGGTTTGCTGTGAAAGGGGACTGCTTTAGGAGATGGTACTGGCAACCCAGCATTGTAGTACAGGAGGCATGAGCTAGGGGATTCTGATGGACCAGCAATGTCACCAGGTTATGGACAATGGGATTCCACTTAAACTCCCTGTGGTTGATTGTTGTGCCTGTGGGGTTTGTTTTTTGCCTTTGCAGCCTGGGAGTGCCCATCGGCCGTGGCAGTCCTACTTCGACCTGATCCTGGTGGATGCACGAAAACCCCTCTTCTTTGGGGAAGGCACTGTGTTGCGGCAGGTGGACACGGTGAGTGGCAGGTGGAGGGTACCTCTACAGTTGGAAAGGCTCATGCACGTCCTATGTGGCATCTCTTAGTGAGAACAGGCAGCAGAGTGTTTAGATAGGACCTGCCCCAGAGATGGTGGGCTGGCTTCTCCCCTTAGTGTTTCCTGAGCAACCCCATCACATGGGGCACAGCAGAGCTCAAGGATTTCCAGCCTTCCTTAAGGTACTACAGATGGCAATAGGAAAAGAATGTAGAAAGCTATGTTTAGGCTGCCTGGGAGTGAGAGAGACAAAGAGTAGAGTATCAATAGGGCAGAACAGATCCAGACCATCAGCTGTGCTGTACTAACAAAATGTCTCCTTCCTTAGGTGACTGGGAAGCTGAAGATTGGTACCTACACTGGCCCACTGCAGCATGGCATTGTGTACTCAGGAGGTGAGGCAAGAGCCCTTCTTATTCTGTGGAGTGTCTCTGATGTGCTCTTGTGGCCTTCAACCACTCTGGCTGTGAGAGTACTTGTGCCAGGCACTGGGCACATCATAATGTGCCCTCTGCACCCTGTGCCAGAAGCCCTCCGACATCACTGCTGCACAGTGGCAGGGAAGAATGGACACATTCCTCCCCATATGCCCTGTTCTTCCTTGCCAGGGAGGGTCTGGGAAACACCAGTGCAGAGCTTCTGGTGGAGGGGGAGCTGCAGCTGGCCCAGTGCAATGTTTCCAGCTGTACTTAAGATGCTGCCACCAGTGTGACCAAGCTTAGAGGGTCCCCTGAGCCAGGGGAGGGCAGCAGGTGGATATACAGGGCTGCCTATGATGAACCCTCCATTCCTGGGGTGGGAAGCAGTATGGTCCCTCTGCGGCTGCCATTCATGGGGGGCTGTGCGTGGGCAAAGCTGCTCCTGGGAGAACTTTGTGGTGGGTGGGCAATGCCCTGTGCTGCCACAGCCAAGCAGGGCTGCTACGTTTAGCAGTGGAGGTTTATGGGAGGAAAACACCCATGTTCTGTTCCTAAACCTGGCCCTCTGAAATGAGACACGTTTCCTTTTGGCTTCGTGTTCTGAGCCATGCCATTCATCTCTCAGGCTCTTCAGACACAGTCTGCGACCTGCTGGGGGCCAAAGGGAAGGATATCTTGTACATTGGAGACCATATCTTTGGAGACATCCTCAAATCCAAGAAGCGCCAGGGCTGGAGGACCTTCCTGGTGATCCCTGAGCTGGCACAGGAGCTGCACGTCTGGACAGACAAAAGTGGTAAGTGGAAGCCCCAGGCCAGGCTTTGTTCTTGCTTGCCTGGTGCTGTACCCCTGAGATCACCAGGGCATAAGTGTGCAAGGGGAAAGATCACCCTGGCTTGCAGCTTCTCCTTTTGACCCTTTTTCTCTGGGTCTGGGTGTTAGAGGCAGGAGCTGGGGCAGCTCTCCATGGGCTGGCCCTGGGGTCCCAGGCCTTTCCTGTTCTCTTTCCCAGGCCACTTGAATGTGATCAGCCAAGTGCTGACTTGGCCAGGGAGAAGCTGGAGCTGGGTGGGGTTGAGTTGTTCCTCATCCATAACCCTGGAGCCATGGCTCCCCTGCTGCCTAAGTGCTGTGTGTTTCCCATCCTCCAGCACTACTGCTTTTGTCCCAGGTCTGCCATTTGGTGTGTAACTAGGTCTGGGGATTATGACAGTTGCATATTTATTGACAGTTGCTGGTCAAAAGGTTTTGGCGAGAGCTGCAAAGGTTCAGCCTCAAAACCAAAAGGAGCACCCAGAAACCAAGCCCAAAGCTCTGCCAGTGGCACAAAGTGTGATTGAACCCTATCCCTGCACAGTACCATGAGATGCCATGCTCCTTGATGCAGTGCCCCTCCACCGCCCTGCAAGGTGTTTGCTTTCAGCCCTTTTCATTTCAACAGTTTTAACTTACCTTTTTCCCCTTTCTTTTCTGAATTTTACAGCCCTTTTTGAAGAGCTGCAGAGTCTGGACATCTTCTTGGCCGAGTTGTACAAGTGAGTGTTTAACAGTGACAACCTTCCTGCTGCCTCTCCCAGCCTAGTGACAGCTATCAAGCAGCTCTGACAAAACCCTGGGGTTGGGTTAGCAGCACTGCTGCCGGAGCTTTGACTTAGGCCTGGGCTCTGCCTATGAGACCAACCTTCCCCTCCAGACCAGCCTCCCTCCCCTGAGCCCCCATTCCACAGCATCTGGTTCTGAAAGGCTTTTCACACCATGTATTTACCTTCTCGCCTGTAACTAGGCATCTGGACAGTAGCAGCAATGAACGCCCCGACATCAGCTCCATCCAGAGACGCATTAAGGTACCAATCATCAAAATCCCTTTTCATCCTTTTGGATCCCAAAGGGCTTGACAACCCAACCCCACTGCTCAGCCCTGAAATGCTTTGCTCTGCCTTTGGGTGGGCACAGCAGGCTTGGCAAAGCCGTTTTGTCTTTGTGGACGCAAACAGAGGAGCTTCTCAGCTCACTGTGGCACTCCTGAAAGGCAGCCTGGTCTGGAATAGGGTCTCCTCCCTCCTGCACGCAGCAGCACTGACTGCTGGTGCTCACTGCCACACACATGCTTGGAGGGGCTTTAGCCTCTGGTTCAGCCAGCCCTGGGGTGCCAGCCTGGGGCAGGTGCTGGCCCTGAGCCTGCTGTTGCCTTCCCCTCTGTTAGCTGGGACTCGGCTGTGCTCTGATCCCACGGGATACGAGCACAGAAAGCTTTGCTGCAGATCCTTGCAGATCTCCTGTAGCCCCCAGCCCTCGGTGTGCTTCACTTTGGTGTTATTGTGGCTCCGCGCTGCCGCCTGCCCAGCCCAGGATCTGACCTGCCCTTTGCTTGTAGAAAGTGACCCACGACATGGACATGTGCTACGGGATGATGGGGAGCCTCTTCCGCAGCGGCTCTCGGCAGACCCTGTTTGCCAGCCAAGTGATGCGCTACGCTGATCTCTATGCAGCCTCCTTCATCAACCTCCTCTACTACCCCTTCAGCTACCTCTTCAGAGCCGCCCATGTCCTGGTGAGTTGCAGATCCTGGGGAGGTGGTCAGGGCTCCCAAAGGTGCCTGTGGTTGAGTTTATTAACACTTCCAGAAGCTCCAAGCACCAGGAATGGCACCTTGGAGGGTTGGGGCGTGTTTGAGGCACCGCAGGCCAAAGAGTCACCTTCTGGGGCTTGCTCTCCCTCTGTCTCAGGGAGATCTCCTGGAGCTGGGACACCCTTTGTCATCTCCTCTCTGTCTCTTCCACGTGTAGATGCCACACGAGTCCACGGTGGAGCACACGCACGTTGACATCAATGAGAAGGAGTCACCGATGGCCACGCGCAATCGCACCTCAGTGGATTTTAAAGATTCTGACTACAAGCGGCATCAACTGACCCGCTCCATCAGCGAGATCAAACCGCCCAACCTCTTCCCCCAGGCACCTCAGGAAATCACGCATTGCCACGACGAGGATGACGATGAGGAAGAGGAAGAGGAGGAAGAAGAGGAGGAAGAGGAAGAAGAATAAGAAGGAAAAAGCAAAGCGTCTCTGAAGACAGACCATGACTCTAGCAGTGATCAGGAGCGGATTCCTTTGTTGGGGCCCTTGGGGTGATGGGTTGGGGGGGGTGTGATTCTTGCAAAGGCACATTTTGGAAGTGTCCAGATACTTTTAACAAATCAACACTAATTAGGAGGAGACCCTTGTTTTCAGTTTTGCAGACGGTTTAAAAAGCTGTTGGGTTCTGCCTGGGTGGTGCATTCAGATGGGACTGCCTGCCTGGGCTGTCATGCTGCTCCCATTACATTAGGGATGCTGCATGTTTCTCCCTTTCCCATGGTGTGTTTCATCTGATCCTCATTTGAACGGTGTCCTGTGAACGGTTTTTGCCTTTTGTTACATTCTCTGTGGAGAAGGAAGGGATGTGCTGGGCCCTGCAGGAGACAAAATCATCCAAATCCTCCTGCCGTTTGGGTTGCTGCCCTTTCAACCCTCTGCTTCTGGGTTACAAACTGCCCCTCCCCGTGTTAGCCAGGGTGTTGCTGTGGTTTCCAGCACTCAGTTTACCTTCTGCTTGGTGTGAGTTTCTGTGTGTCAGTGGCTTGATTCCTCCGTCTGTCACAGATGGCGGTGGGATTCCAGCTCTTGCATATCTGCAGCTGTACACGTTTCGGCTTGTAGATGCTTGTTATCCTCTCCCAGTGTTCCAAACTCTTTCATCATCAGCATGTGATGCATGTTTTCCAACACATTTCTCCAACAGCTGAGCCGCACGCTGTGTTCTCAACTCCTGTAGTTTCAGCAGTAATTATTAACCCAGGAGCTTGAAGCCACTGCTGTAGCATTACATTAGTCTGTTTTCCTATTGCTTATTACTGACCTTTCTGTCTGCTGAGCTTTAACAAAGTGAAGCATCCCAAAGGCAAACCCAGCCACCACCTGGAGCGAAAGGGCCTGTTATTCCAGGGTGTCTGCCCTAAACTAGGGAACAGCACATGCCACAGGGCCAGCCCCGCATGGGAACTGGGAAGCTCCAGCCCTGCTGGCAAATGCCCTTGTCTTTGGCCTGGAGCAAACAGAGCCTCATTGCAGGCTGCAGTGGCCAAGGAGGGTGATGGCTGCAGGGTTTGGCATGGTCCTTGTGCTGGAATTCACCCTGGGGAAGGCACAGGGCTGCACCCAGCCAGACAACAGCACCCTGTGCTTTTCCTCCATGTCATGGAGCAGCCTCCCTTACTCCCCCCGTGCCGTTCGCTGTGAAGGGATTACAATGAGGGCCCTCTTGTAGTTAATTCGACTGTTGTTTCAGTTTCATAAACTCACTGAATTTTGGTTTTCCATTTTAAAGTACCTTAGGAGACAATAAAACCAGAAAAACCACACCACCACCATGGAGCAGGAAATGCTGCTGCTGGAGGGGCACTTGTTCAAGTCAATAAATGATGTTTTTAGAAATGCCTGGCACTTTCTGGCATGTTGCTGAGGTAATGAGGGTGGTGCTGGAGGTGACAGGGACAGCCAAGACTGGTCTGTGGGGATCCCAGCGGGATGGGTGGCTGAGGAAGAGGGAAGGATCTGCAGGAACTGGTTGTGTGAAGCACTGCTGAGCAGTGGCTATGGGCCTGGCTTTAAGGGCTTGTCTGATCCCCAGGTGGGCAGGAAGCAATGGGGGGGGGTCAGGAGGCTTTTGTTATCCCCATCACCTTCACCTGGAAGGCACCAGGAGACAGAAACATTTTGGCCTGGATTTAGAGTGAGGAGGGACTTTTCCATGTAGGCAAGGGCAACCCCCTCCCACCCTGCCACTGCCTTCAGCATTGCCCCATTCCAGGGCTGGTTCCCTCATGGCCCACACTCATCAGGGGCTGCAACATAGTTGAACAGGGCAAAATCCCCTGGGAAGGCCAGTGCAGCCGCAGCAATGGCACTGACTGACCCAGCCAAAGGCTCTGTCCACCCTGTACCCACCAGGACAGGGACAGCCCTGGGGCCAGAACACTGCTGCGCTCAGCCTTCGCCTGTGACCAAACCCCTCATATGAACCAAACCAGACCAGCTGAGACCCCGCTGTCAGAGCTACCATAGCAGGATGGTCAGGACCTGTGGCCAAACAGAAAGGCAATGATGAATGGCTGCAGGTGCTGGCCATCAACAGCGACACAGCAGGGATTGCTGAGAGCCCCATACCCAATACTGGGCCCTGACCCCTTGATTTTGGGGTCTGGAAAACAGCAAGTGTGTACCCACAGTGATGCTAGCTGCAAAAAGGGTTTGAGGAGCTGCTCCCGAGCCCTTTCACTAAAGGCCATGCTTGGCTTTGCTATGTTTAAACCTCATTTCTCCAAGTATAGCCACTTGGATTTTTTAAGCTTTAGCTCAGCAGCTGGGGAGGGCGTGCGGCTGCAGGAAGGGAGGTCTGGGAGCTCTGAGCATTCCTCCTTCCATTCCTCCTTCCTAACCGGTCACCACAAATAGCTCCCTCCCAGCCCAGGGCTATTTTCTGACCATGATGGGGAGAAGACTCTTCAAGGCTGGAGCAATGGAAAGTATTTGACCCTCACTTGATGGTGGGAAAGCAGTGGGCAGAGGGAGCCTGGTGGACAACAGGCACTGCTCACTGCCCGGCCTTGTGCCACTTTGCCCATCCTGTGCTGCTCTGCACCGGTGTTGCAGGAAGAACCCACTGAGCAAGAGCCAGGGTGAAGCCTTTTGCACAGGGGACATGGCCATTTCCTAGCCCACACCAGTGCTGCCCACAAGGAGCCGGTGCCCTGGCGGTACCTTGTGTCTCCAACCAGCCCTGCAGAGCCCCTGAAATAGCCGGTGTGAGCTGCTCTCCCTGCAGCCCGGCCCAGCACCCCGGGGGGTGGGCACGCTGATGCCCGCTGCTGCTGGTCCCTCCTGCAGCATAAGCCTGGTGGCAGCAAGGCCTCAGGGACAGCCCTCACCCCAAGCCCTGCGCTCTCCCTGTCCTGGGTTCTGCTTTCTCCCCACCACGTGCTCACCCTCACCGCTCCACAGGGATGGAGGGGCCTCACAGCAGCTGCACAGAGAAAACTCTACCAGGGACAGGAGCCTGAGGGTCACACTGCCCTTAGACATGGCCCTGGAGACATTTTGTGTTGGGGGCACTGCCAGGCAGTCCTTCTGAATAGGTCAAAGTAACTAGAGATGCTCCCAGCTCCTCATGCTTGCACCAGCTCCTCTCCCAGCAGACAGCACCCACATGCAGCTCCAGCACAAACCCGGTATGGAGGATGCAAAGCCCTGTGCCAGTCCCTGGGCAGCACCTACTGCAGCCTCAGCACCTAAAGCCCCTGTGGTGTACACTGACAAGGCAGTTTTATAGATGCAGAGCTCCCAGCTCACCCTGGGGTGCTCACCTCCTGCAGACAGGCCCTGGCAGGCAGAGCAATGCAGCAGCAGGGCAGCGGAGGGCAAGATCTACCAGTGCCTAACACCCTGTGGGTACTAAAAGTGGGTACCCCTGAGCAGGACTCACACAGTACTTGAGAACTGGCCTTTAGTGCTGGGGGCCTGGCCTGGCCGCACAGGGGGGTCGCAGCACAGCCTCAGGGATGCAGAGCCCCATATGCAGGTGCCTTTGCTCCAGGCACTGCTCCCACCTCACTGCCACAGCACAGCCTGGACCCATCCCACCAGCCTGCAGGACCGGCCACTTGCATCCTCCCTGCCAGGATGCTTGGGCTCTTCCTGCCCTGCTCCTCACCATAGGAGCCAGCCCCAAGCCTGCCTGCACATTAATTCTGCTTACATCCTGCTTGCAGCATCACATCCTCCACCCACTGCAGGGACAGGCACACATCAGGCACAGTCCTCACAGGACCTGCTGCTCTTCCGTGCTGCTGACAAGAGGCTGGGGAGAGAGATGTGCAGGGGGACTGGTCCACCCTGCAGCACAGGAACAGGACAGAGGCACTGGGTGCAGCAAAACCACCCCAAGGCTTGAGCAGACACTGCCCAACTCTCGCTAGCCCAGGGTTCAGCAGCTCAAGAGCTGAGCAAGGCAGAAAGCCCAGTGCAGGGAGAGCACTGGGTGAAATGGCTGCGAGGACAGGGGCTGAGGGTGGCAGAAACACGAACTGGGCGCATGGCTGGGCTGCGGCTGCCCTGCAGGAAAGGGCCGGCTGCTGCTCCGCCAGCATGGAACTGAAGTGATGCTGGGCAGGGGACTGAGCACAGGCTCACCCTCCTGCTCAGAAACAGAGCTCTGCCACTGCAGGCTCTGCACAGCTCTGCTGCCCAAGGCCCAGCAGTGGGGAGAAGACAGCGGCACTGATGCAGGGGCACAGACTCTCTCCATCAGCAACTTCATCACCAGCCGCGTCCCTCGCTGGAGACCCTCGTCACACACGGCCTGGCAGGAACACACGCTACAGAGGGACAGACAGACGGCATCTATGCTTCCGGACGGACAAACATGATCTGTGGAGAGCAGGTTGTAAATAAGGGGGTTTTATTAGTGGAAGAAAAAGACCCTCACCCTTGAGGGGACTTCATAAAGTCAGCTGCTTGCATTGCCACCAGCTTCCCAGCTCCTGCTCAGCAAAACCACCGGCACAGCCCTCCCCAGCTTGAGGACTTTTAGGCCCAGACCCACCAAAGCAAAGAGCAAGACCTGGCTCTAAGGGGAACAGTATCCAGCCTCTCCGTGGCTCTTGGCAGCTGAAGTAGAGATTAAAGAGCAATGATGTGCCAATAGCAGAGATCTGGGTCAGGGATCGTCAACATCAGCCCCACCACCCACGTGCCAAAATCCATCCCTTGGAAACGAGGAGGGGAGGAGCATGGAGGAGGGAAAAATGCATAAACTGGAATGTTCAACAGAAAAAAAAAATCATTTATCTAAAAAGAATAGAAATAAACAAAATGCTTTTAAACAAAATCACAAAATATACAAATAAATCTGGTACAAAATAAATAGGAAAGATTGGAAATCTACAACAAAATCGGAATAATTATAAAATTCATCGTATGACAATCAGTATATGAAACGTATACACTTCATTCAGGAGTTCAGTTGTGCTTATTCAGGTTTATGTACACACATGGAAACACTGTAGTCAGAACACTACAACTCTGGCAACCCCAAGTCATGTACAATATGATACAACTCGCAAAGACCACATACGATGGTGAACAGGACACAGGGAAGAGCCACTGGTATGGAGGGAGAGCGCGGGGACCACGGCAGCCACCAGGAAGGACCCAGCCGCAGGACCACGGTTTGGTGCGAGGTCTCCAGCTGCTCATGGCTTTTGGGAACACTTCTCAAGTACTTGGGTTCTCTGATTCAGTGTTTGGCATCCAGGTGCCTGCCCTGTGATCCAGGTGTTGAGGCTGGCTCTGCAGCTGCACAAAGCACGTGCCAAGGGCTCTGATTCCTTCAGCAGGGCCTGGCCCTGAACTGCTCATAAACCACCCTTGAGCTCAGGAGAGCACAGACTGAATGGGACCAATTGCACTCTCTGAGTCCCTTGTGCAGCATCTTCCACCCTTAGCGTGAGGAATGAAGACAGGATGGCCACAGCACCGCCTGTTCCTGACTGCTGCACCTCCTTCTCTCACCTTCCTGAACACTTGCAACTGAACCATAGCAAGAAGAGCAGAGGAACGGCCATGGCCGGTGCCACAGCAGCAGCCACACTGCCCAATCCAAGCCACCACGATGCAGAAGGACAGAGCACGTACCCTGGGTAAAAACCCACCGGCCAAACCAGCCCAGCCCAGCCTGCTGGGACCTGAGACTTTGAGGCAGGGAGACGCTAGAGCTGATCTAGGCTTGGCCACTCTTGTCACTTCTGCGAACAGAGGAGCTCACCGAGAGACCCCTCCACCCTCCGCACTGCTCTTTGGGTGAATCCAGAAGGCATGCGTTCACTATTGGCACTTCCAACTAAAGCCTATGATCCAGGCTACTTATCTTACACCTACAAGTTTCTAACTTTAATTTTGACGGATTTGGTACAACAGTGATGCCCAGAGGATTAAAAGAACACCTCCTTTTATAAAGCTCTGCGTTTACCAAACAGCTGAAATGGGATACTATGCTGCTTTGCCAAGCACCAAATGCTCAGACCATTTCTTCCTCCCCAGCAAACCCTGCTACTGACCTGCTGCACTGCTTCCAGAAGGAGAAGATAATAGAGACATCAGATCCATGCCTGGAGCATCAGAGCCACCTGCAGGCACTGGTTTGGCTCACAACAGCTGACAAACCTCAAGCCTGGATGCATGACAGGCAGCAGCTTCTGTCCAGAACGGCCAAACCTCTCCTGATGGGGGGAGAACTAAACATCAAGCACTCCATTAGCCAGGAATCTGTGCTGGAGGGGTGTGGGCAGCCC